TAATTAAGTAAAAAAAAGGCCAGAGCTTCTAAGCAACAGTGTACAGCATCTTTAACCAATCTTGTCTTCTCATCTAAAAAAAAGTCTGAATCTAACAATTATTTAAGTAATATTTCTGCCATACCTGCAGTTTTTTCAATATCAAACGACACGTTTATTGATAGAGACTGCTAATGGTCTGTCAATAATTGCTTTATTTGCTAAAACATATCTAACAATTGTTTTCAAATGTTCTTTATGGCTGACATCTGCTGTTTAATTGAAAATTATAGCTTACTTTGCATTTATTAAACCACTTTTCGATATACTTTGTTACTCAAAAGATAAATAATTTTATTCTAAATATTTTTTATAAGTAATGGTCATGAATTTCATCTAATTTTATTCATCTTGTGTTTATATTCATTATTAGATCAAACTAACTGAAAAATTTTACAAATTTTTATTATAAAGCGCATGGAACCATTCATTTATGACAATTGCTTAAATAATCGGGTGATTTTTCATAATGCTGAAACATTCCTCATATACTTTTGTAAACACAACTGCTATGGGTTGCCAAAAGAGGTTGTTTTTTTAAATTTTTTCATTATTTCAGTTTACAATCATTAATCACAGTATAACAATATTACAATATACAAACTTGGTATCTGAAATAAGATCACAAAGATCGCCAGAAACCAGAGGCGGATCCAGCATTTTTTGGTGACATAGCTAACTTCCATACATGAAGCAAACTCTCCAAAGATGTTTATACTTATGTCATGAATGCTTTGCGAAAAATTACGATGATTAGAATTTGGGAACAAAAAAGTCCCAAAAATTTAGCCACCCTAACCCAAACGTGAGTGCAAGAAGTTGATAAAGTAATCTTTTTTAATATTCTCTACTCGATTTGTCTATTATTCATCGATAAATTTTAATTTCATAGTAAAATATCTCAGGGTTCAAAAAATTTGTAGTTCCCTCAAATTGAGGAGATTCGAACTTTATATCATGATAATTTTTGAAAGCTGAAATATTATACTTTGAAACTTAAAATTTACCGATCAATGTAAATCTAGTTGAGAGTAGTATAAAAAATATTTTATCAACATTTTGCGCTCACATTTGAAACAAGATGGCTAAAATTTTGGAGCTTTTTTGTTCCCAGGCTCAGAATCATTGCAATTTTTTGCAAAACATCTTTAATTAACGTTACTACAAACATATAAATGTTTGAAGTTTGCTCCATGTATTTTACATCTCAAAAAAAAAATTATATCATCAGTAGAATATAATTTTTTAATTTAGTTTTAAAAACAAAAAACGAGATTGACAAATTAAATAGGTAGAACAGTTATGTTTCATAGATGAGAGGCTCGAAAATTGATGCAAAACTGATTGAAATGTTTGAAAAAAGGGTTGAATAAATAAATTATTATTTTGTAAAGTATATTTAATTATAGATTTTCAGAGTAAAAAGATCTTTAAAAATAAATAACGATTGGTCATTTTTACAATGAAACATAAAACATAATATATTATAGATACTGAGTTATTAAAGGATTAGTGCTTTAATATCTTTAAATGAATTTTTTTAACGTGAAAGACCATTTTCAAAATATAATAGTGGTTTTGTGTGTTTCTAACGATGGTAATGATGTTGTACTTACTTTTAGAGGTATTTCCCCAGACATTATTAGCATAGTTTCTATAGCTATAGTCTCTATAGCTACAGTTCTATAGCTATGAATAAATGAGTAATAAAGTTAAATTTTCTTAGCTTATATAGGTTCACCTCTGTTATAAACTTTGCATCAAAAATAATATACCATATCTGACATAGAATACATCATTCGTGCCCTTTTTATTAGACACCACTATACTACTATACACACCAATCGGGGACACAGTTTGCAAGCGCAAAACTCATACAATTTCTTGAAAGAAACTGTATCACCAAAGCTAGAACTACTCCCTACCACCCACAAGTCAATGGGAATGTAAAAATACAAACAAGACTTTAGCACACGTCAAAATTTAAAGTGGAAAGGTTGATACAATATCAACCAAAGACTTTACTCCACTTCAGGTGGTAGATTCATCAGCACAGTTTAGTTGTTATACAATTTTGGTCCAACAGCGATCCAAGAAACAAAGTAGTGACCAAACGACTATTGCCACCGATGCTTGCGATCAGTCAAATGGAGAGAGGTATGTATTAAAAAACAACAACAGTGAAATGGTAACAACCCCACCTAGTACACTTGAGAACTCGATAATAATTGGTATCACAAGTGTCAAAGCACCAGAAGTAGACGTGCCTGGCCAGTTTGATACTTAAAGCCCTGCTACCGTAGAAACACAGAGCAATATATTTTCAAGAGAAGGACGAAACCTTAAAAGACCTTAATACCTAAACAACTACATTACTTATTAATTCAGCATTTCTCTCATTGAAATGAATAATTCCCATGGACAAATTCAAAAGTGGAGAAGACTGTTATAATTATTATAAAAGAGCATTCTAAAACCGAAATGTTAATTCCGCTTTAGCAAACCATACGTATTAATTACTTTTATTAATTCCATTATCGCGTTTTATTTACACTTATATCGATATTGTAGTGACTTTATATTTGCCTAAAGCCTAATACTTAATATTGCATTATATTGGGGGTTCACAACAAGTTGTATAGTGGTGGTATATAAACTGACTTTCACTTTTATCTTTTGGATAACCAGACTCTATTTTGCTTTATGCACTATGCTCTGTTTTGCTCCTTTAAATTATGCCAAATTAGAAAACAACAAACGTTATGATATATATTTCATCATTTACCAGGACTCTCTATTACATCTAAATTTTTTTAATTCAAACTTTTTTTCTTTTCTTTTCTTTTAATTTAGGTGCTCCAAGAAGTCCTTACGGTCTTATCACAGAGCACCGCGAATGATCATTTAATAGGAAGTTCACGCCTTTTTTTCCCAACCGAAGTCGCTAAACTTGCCAAGAGGTGGGGTTTGAAAAGAACCACGGATCCTTTGTTTCTGAGGCAAGTGCGCTACTTGCACTCCCATGTTTATAACTAGAATTTACAATTTTTTGTACATCTGGAGCTTTAGAAATTCAATGTTGTCAAGTTCGTCATTGTCAAAAATATACGAGAAACGAATTGTAAAACCTCTGGTAAAAAACACCGCGTGTTACAACCAACATTGCTTAAATTTGATTCCTTTGGTGATGTATTCTTTGGTGATGTATTCTTTGGTGATATATTCTTTGATGATGTATTCTTTGGTGATGTATTCTTTATTCTTTAATGACGTATTCTTTGGTAACGTATTCTTTGGTGATGTATTATAATTGCTACTATATTAAAATATAAGCTGTTTTACTGTTTTTCATCAGCACTTTGAAAAATTTTGAAAACATTTTTTTTTCTTCATATACTGTACTTCAGTGAACTGATGCGCTTTGCTGTTTAGGTCTTGGTCATGATGGGTAAGAACTATAAAAGCAGAAAATAGATTGTTATATTACAACAGTATAATATAATTAGTACATTATTTTGTGTTTTTATTTTTAGAGAATAGATTAATGTAAAATTTCAAAAATGAAAAAATAAAGATGGCATGCGAGAAATTTTGTTTATTTATTTTTTATTCTTTTGATTTTGTTTAGGTGCTCGAAGAAGTCCTTACGGTCTTATCACAGAGCACTGCGAATGTGCATTTAATCGGAAGTTCACACCTCCTTCCTAACCGATGTCGCAAAACTTGCCCAGAAGTGGGGTTTGAATCAAGGATCCTTTGTTTTTGAGGCAAGTACGCTACCACTGCGCCACGGCTGCTCTATTAATTTATTTGTATGGTTATCACGCATAAAACCTCTTTAAAGCAATATAAATACATATAATCAATATATAATATTATAGTATATTAAAAATTAAATAAATTACCTAAACAAAGTTTACTTAAAATATTTTAAGTTTGCGTAAATTACATTAGAAAAGTTCATCTTTTAATAATACGAAAGAAGTGTCGGCTTATCAATAAAAAGCGCTGAAATTGTATCAATAAGTTTAAAAATTTTCTTTTATAAAAATTATTTCGAGGTTGCGATTAAAAATAATTAAACAAACTTAAATTCTTCAAAATTAATGAAACTATGGGGCAGGAATGGTATTGGGATATTTGTAGTATACTGGTATTTGCTACTCAAAGCCCAAAAATTAACTTTTGAGTTTAAAAAAATTTTAAGTCAAATATATACAAATATCCTGATACCACTCCTGTAAATTTTAAAAGAAAAAAAAAAAATCTTTTTCTTTTTAAATTTGTATTTTTCATCTTTTTTTTTTTTTTTTTTTTTGCATTTTGGTAAAATTTGCCGCTTTAAGGATAGATATGGGTAATCGCCTATTTTTATCCATAAAGCTTGCACTGTTGCTACCATACAAACTCCAATTTATTTATTTGTATTGTTTGAGATGACGTTATTTATTTGGTTTAATTTTAAAATTGTTAAGTGCTTCGTTAAAAGCGACACGATCGGCACGATTAAAGCGACAAGTGTCACGATTATTATTTATTAATTGTTGATAAAAATGTAGAAAAAAAAAAATCTTCTTTGACCAATGACAAAATCCATCTGCTTCTTATGAAGTTATTTAGAGCTAATAGAATTATAGAGAACAAATTCCCGATTCCTTTTGCAATTTTTATATTATTTGCGCAAAAAATACGATTTGAATTGCTTACACGTTTCCTCAATGGGTGCAAATCTTATAGCGAGGACTTATTATCGGCAATGTTTTTTAAGGATCATATAAAACCCATGACATTTAACGACTTTATTGCCAATTCTTTTTATTATGCTTCTCTGTAATTTCATATTCAAGCCAACGGTTAAATAATTTATGCTCGCTCGCGAACGTTAAAAGTTATGAAAGAACTTCATGGCAAAATCGGTAACACGTTCGTAAATAATTCGACTTTTTTTCCTTGAAGTAAAGTTCACCTATTTTTATACATTTAATCTTTGGTTGATTTGATCATTAATAAGTTTTGAAAGCGATTAAATATAACTTTTAAAAGAATATGATAAGTTGAATTCGAGTTTGAACAAGCATCAAATATGCTTGAAGGCTAAAAGTAAGAATATTCTTTCTATTCGTTTGAAATTGATAAAATTGCAACTTATAAAATAAAAAGTTTATTTTGTTGTTGTTTTTGTTTTACGTTTCCGTGGGAGTGAACGTGGTGTTAAAAAATCTTTTTTAATCAATGGTCAAGATACAAACCATTTTTCTTATCTTTTTCTTTTATGTAATACAACTTTTTTTGTTTATTTATTTATTTTATGGTTTATTTCAAAACCTTAATCAAGGTCAGATATTTTTTTCACTTTTAAAAATTGGTTGCTTAAACGTTTTACTGATCATTTGAACTATCGTTTACTTATATCCATTTGCGTTCTTCAGCGATAATCTTTTCAAATAAAAGGTTTCGTTTAAAGATGTTTTTTATCTTTATCTTGTTTTCAAAGATGTTTGTTGTTTTAATATAAAATCTCAATTTCAAACTTTGTATAGAAAATGATGTTATATTAATTATCAGATCGATTCTGTCGATTTCTATAAAAGACTTGATATTTTTCAAATTTTAATTTGATGTAAAAAACTTTAAAAAAAAAAAAAAAATTTTGCACTGTAAGTTTTTATCTTAAATGACATTGGCTTTAAGACTAAAGCATGAGAATCTATCGACTGGTTTTTGTAATCAAGCCGTATTTTGTTCTTTTTTTTTCCTTTTCTTTTTTTTTTTTGTTTTTTTTTTTTTTTTTTTGTTTTTTTTTTTATCATCTTCGTTGTTTGTATTGTTGTTATGTTGTTTTATTTTTATCGTTGTTTTTTTTATTGCTTGTAATCATTTGAAATCGAAAAACCAAATATTTGAATTATTAATGCAACTGGGCATTAAAGAAAAAAAAAGCATAACTACTCATAACTTAAGCGAATTTCATATAAGGTTATTAGAAAATATACTGTTTTTTTTTTGTTTTTTTTTAAAGTTAATTTTCTGGTGTTGATTTAATAAACGCATCTAAACAAAACGTCTAAACACTTTATTAATAACCCAGAGGTTGGATTTTTATGAGTTGATATTCATCCCGCCTCTTTAACAACGATTCATAAAAACATCTTTGTTTATTTCACCTGAGCTTGATCTTCCAAAATTTACTAAGACTTAATAATATTATGAAATGTCTCAATCTAGGATATTAAAACTATTTCTCTAGATAGAGGCTACTCTAGATAGAGGCTACTTAATAACCATTTTGAAAATAATGTAAAAGCATTTTTATTTTCTCTACATACTACTGTAACATAATATACTATATAGTGTCAGAGTCAAGTTAAAACCTGCGTTATTAGGGGTCCGGGGATTTTTTAAGGATTATTTACAACCTTTAAAAATTGTTTTTATATAGTTATTAAAGTCTTTATTCAATCCGTAGGGCGTTTTAAGGTTGTTCGGTTAAAAAAGCTTAGTACTTGGAGAACGTAAAGTTATAACTTAAAAAAACTATAACTTAAATTTTAAGTTCGGTCATTCGATAAAAACAAAACACAAGTAATAAAAAAGCCTGAAGTGGTTTAAGTACACGTGGTGTAGTGATTAGAGTTTTTAATTCAAAGACATATATAAAACATGAGGAGAGTAAATTTCCTAGTTAAATGCTATTCCGCGTTGCTCTGTGATAAGACCGTATGTGATAAGACCGTATGCGATAAGACCGTATGTGATAAGACCGTATGTGATAAGACCGTATGTGATAAGACCGTATGTGATAAGACCGTATGTGATAAGACCGTAAGGATTTCTTTGAGTGCCAATATAACAAAAAAAATAAATAAATAACGAAGCACAGGTAGTAAGCATCTATAACTTTTTAAAAGAAGTTATCAAGTTATGAGCTTTATTCTTTTTTGAGATCTACATTAACATGTTTTCAGTTCAGTTTTTGTTATTCATTATGTTGTTGTTTTAAATTTATATGTTGTTACTTGTATGATTCTATGTTATAATTTTTTTATATATATATAAATTTGAATTTTGTATAAAATTGACAAAAAATTTGTTTTGGAAACAAAACTAAATGCTTGTTTGTAAAATTTACAAATCTTTGACAAATTCTACAAAAAATTTGAATAAAATTGGCAAAATCAAAAAAGTATTTGAATAATTGAAATATATAATATAGTTAAAATAATTAGTACAACTTATTTAATGAGTTAAAGTTATAATTATTAAATTTATTGTACATCACTAGGTTTAAAGTAAATTTTCTTTGTTTAAAATATCACGCTAACTATTCGTTTCAATTCTTAGAAATCATTTGAATTTTGAAAAATTCTTTTATAGGATACGTCAATTAAACGTTTTACATTTTAAAGTCCTTTTTTAAGCAATTATTAATAGGCAACTACCCTTTGAACTTTTCAAAACTTTGACTTTTGTTTTTAAATAAATATAAATCAGACTTAATCTGCAAAAAAAAAAAAAAAATTTCTACATTAACTTTTTACTTTGAACCTAAATAAAAAATATGTTCATTGCAAAGCCCATAGCAACTGAGTGAATGTAATTTGTGTGTCCTTCTCCAGAATTACTGTTTTAACTACAGATTTAGATTTATATCCTATTCGCTACTTAATATTCTGCTTCTTACTATATGCAAACGCAGCCAATTTCTGAAATATGGTTTTACCATGTTGTCTAAGCTAATTTATACAACAACATAAAAATGATTATGAAAAAATCTACTAATATGGATGTTATTAAAACCACAACAGTTATACCAATGGTTGTACCAGTTTTTTTGGTATTTAAGCTACTTTTTTCGGTTACCACAGCAACGAGTTACCATTATAAATATTTTTGGTATTTTTAAGGTCTGTATAGTATTTACTATTTGACTTAAGTGAAAGTTAGATTATATATGTTATTTTTAAATTTGAGGGCAGTTGCTCCGTAAGTACGCTTACAATTGTTAAAACCTTTGGTAAGAGTATTTTTGGTAGTTGTACCAAAATATTTTTGGTAGTTGTACCAATAATAATTGACCCATTGAGCACAGGACGTAAAAGAGACTAGTTTTAAACTTCTTTTAAACGTTTTGGATGTCTTTCGAACGTCTTATTAACGTTTTAGACGTCTTTTAAACGTTCAAAAGATGTTTGTTTTGGGTTCCGTACCCACAGGAGACTAGGAACTGCTAATCGAAACATTGCTACTACTTGTTAAAATAGGTTTGCAATTCCTTACGTGTTTTACGTTTTAAGCGGTCACAGTATCATTAATTCACAAAGCTTATTTGGGTCACAGTATCATTAATTTATAGCTTTTAAGTTAGCAACAAAATATAGCTTTTAAAGTAATAAAGTCTTTTTATTTGTGGTTTTATATGCAAACTATGATTAAACATTTATTACTAAAAGTCATTGTTTTAAGTGAAAATTTAAGAAAGACACTGTAGGTGTCCTTTGTTATAGGTGTCCTTCATTACTTATATCTTCAAAATAAAAAGGAGGAGACTTAAAAATGCTTTGAGTCACCTCCTTTTTCTTTTCTAGATATAAGTAATGAATTATAGAAAGTCAAAAAAGATCAAAAGAGAGAGGGAAGGTTTAAGAAAAATTAATAACATTATGTTTTATTAAGTAGATATCGTTGCGTAATATTTTATATAAAGCATAAAGTAAAGTAAATATAATGTTATAATTTATAGTGTTATGATTTAGAGTAAATATAATGTTATAATTTATAATATAAAGTAAAGTAAATATAATGTTATAATATAAAAAATATATGTTATAATTATTATTTGAATTTAAACATTTAGTATTTTATTTTAGGTATTTTAATTAGTCAATTTTTTTCTATTTTGGGGATAAAATAATATTTGACAAATAGTATAGTGCTTAGTTATAATGTATTGATATGCATGTTAAATAACATACGTTGATTGGTGGTGATAAGTTTGTATCACTGTAGCATATAAAAACTCCCATTTTACTCATTTATTTGTAACCTAAAATTAGTATAAATTTTTAAACAAGATTAAAACTGAAATAAAGTTAATTTATACTTTAGCCAATAAAATTCAATAAAATTACAGGCCCGCAAAAAAAACGTTTGTAAAAATCTTCATCATCTTTAATATTTTTGAGTGTCGAAAACGTATTTTTTTATTTTTATTATATGCTGATACTCAGAAACTGTCAGGATAAACAATGTTAAAATAGAACAAAAGTGTTAAATGTAAAATTGTTACATTTTTCAAAAAATACTACATTGAAGTGTTGGATGACTATAATCAATTAATGTATAACATCAATTATGAAGTCTTTTTTTACCAAGTAACGTAATCAAAATCAATAATAACATTCAACTGTTAAAATGTGTATCTCCATTTCAAGCTTACAAAATTTCTAATACATGGACTTTTAAAAACATTTTGAAGTATTGTTACTTTCCGTTAACATTAATTTTGTTAAAAACATTTAAAATATTACATTTAACGTAATACTTTAGGATTATTACTTTTAGATAAATGCCTTACAACTAATATATTTTTTGAAAACTTTAAGATGTTTAATAACTAAAGATAGTTTAATAAATAAAGATGTTTTAAAATGAATACTTGTGTTTACTACTATAAGAATAATAATTTATAAATCTTTAAGAGTAAGAATAACTTAAGAATAAGAATCAGGGCTAGATCAAGGGGGGCTAGGGGGGGACTATAGCCCCTGGCCCCCAAAAATTTTAGAGGACTTTTTTTTTTTTTTTTTTTAAGTCATTTTTAGGCTCTGGCCCATAAAAAGGCCTCCAAAATAAAAAATAGCCCCAGGCCCCAAGATGTCTTAATCCGCCACTGATAAGAATAACTTAAAACTACTACTGAATTCAAGCCTTGATTGTACTAAACGTAACCAAACAAGTTATTAAATGTGTGACATCACATAACTCACATATGTACATACACTATGTAGTCATTTTTATGAACCACAAGTTTTCATGAATAAAGGTAATCATATTTAACAAAACAAGACTAAGAGATGGTTGTCTAGAGTTAACAACAAGAC